GTCCCCGGCGCACGGCCTCAACATAGGAGTTCAATAATTGAAACGAGTAGCGTTTCTTGGCCTCTGGGTAGCTGATGTTTTGTTTTGATAGTCAGGATCTGTTTCTCCTGCTTCCACAGAGGGCATGCACGTGAGTATGCTGGATGGGGTCCTTTACAGTTTGCACAAAACAGTGAGCTTTCGCACATATCAGCTTCATGCTCTGTGCTCTCACATTTTGCGCATGTATCTCTTCTACGGCAGCTGCGTGAGCCGCGCCCAAACCGCTGGCACCTAAAGCACCTTTGGGGGTTTGAGATATACGGTCGGACGCGACAGTTTGTGTAGCCAGCCTTTACAGAAACAGGCAGAAAATGGCGCTCAAAGGGGACTATCAGATGTTTAGTAGGAGTTTCTGATCCATCTTTCCGGAACATGATCCTTTTTACGGCAACTGCTGCAGAGGAGCGGAGGCCCTCAAGGATATCTTCTTCGCTGGTGGGCAGGAGGTCGTTCTCAGAGATGACTCCACGAATGGTGTTTAGCGTGCGGTGAGGAGACACTGTCAGTTTTGCATCTCCAATGGTGTTCAAGGTGAGCAAAGCAATGCTTTGTTTCTTCGAGTTTACCTCCACAAGCAGGTCTCCAGAACACAGTTTGTTTCGCATTATAATCGCCTCCAAGGCACAAGTCAAGAACGTTTGCACCAGCAAAAGGTGAGAGCTTGGACATTCGACGCTGATCATTTTCTGAATGAAGTACAAAGAACTTCGTAAACATGTCAGACTTAGACTCTTTAGCTATGACAAGAGGCTCGGGGCGCAGGCGCTTGCCTAGTCGCCACGAACCGGATTTTGGTTCAAGAGGGGCAGCCATAAAGCGGCAAAAAAACTTCGGCACCTGTGGCGAACCATTCACCCCGTAGTCCAACAAGGGGACAGGCAACACCTCATAACAGTACGGGCTTGGCTGAGTATGGTGCTCTGCCAGTGCTACCACGACGCTATAACCAAGCGTGGTTTCGTCGAGAGTACCTATTACCACCCAAGGTTAGCCCTTGCCGCCAAAGAGGGGAGAAAAAGGAGCAAGAGAAATGAGAAAGAAGTGGAAGAAACAGGAAAGGTAAAAGTGAAAGATCGGAGGGGATAGTAGAAGAAAAGGCGACTAGACTGAATCATCCTGGCCGGGCCTTGCCAGGACTCCCGTCTATGAGAAGCGGGGGTCGAAGTGGTGTTTTGCCTCACCCGGGAAGCCCCGAAGAGCCCAAACCTACTCCGGACTCGGCTCAACCACAAGGATGCCCTTTTCCCAGACACGGGAAAGCCACGCACAGCCAGACGTGGGCGGGCGAACCCGCATGGCTCGGGGTCCGTGGTGACACCACTCACCAAACACCTGCTTTCACAGGTGCCCCCTGCGGGGTCTAGTTGCACATTAGAGATACTTCTAATTATCTTTTCTTGTAACATACAGATTTTTAGAGGTTGGTATAGGTAGTAGCGCCCCATATGAGTGGACCATAATTCAAATGTAAAAAATAATGAATTATATAATATTAATCTTGTTTTAAGTGGTAAAACGTTTTTATGACGATATAGAATACCGACGATGCTATATAATTTAGATATGATATGATTATTATGATCGTCCCATGGCAATTTTTCTTGAAAAATAACGCCCAAGGCTTTAAACGTGGGAACAATTTCTATTTGAGAAGAATTTATAAAAAATATCCTTGGTAATGCTGTTATGTTTATCCTTTGGTCGGAATATCACTGCTTTTGTCATAACGACGTTTATTTTTAATGCATTATGTTCAGTCCATCTATCAAGCTTTTCTAATATTTCGTTTGCGTCATCAATAAGGTCCGACGCGTCATCACCATCAAACAATATGCTCACATCGTCTGCATAAATAAAAAATTGAGTTGAGTGACTAATATTTACGATATCATGTATATACACATTGAGTAAGGAAGGCCCGAGAATGCTTCCCTGGGGAACCCCTGATTCAATTGGTTTTATTTCAGATAAGTGGCCGTTTATATGAACATACTGTCTGCGGGAAGATAAATATGAACGCAGAAGTCTTGATACATCACCACGAAATCCATACATATCTAACATTTTAGAAGCAAATTATGATCTAAATAGTCGAACGCTTTTGTAAAGTCTACGAATAAACCGAGAGTGAGTTTCATTTTTTCAAAATTTCTTAGTAAATGTTGTTTGTTTGTTTTTTTGCGCAAGGAGAGCCAGTTTTGTGGATCGTTGTTTGCGAAAACCACAATGTGACCCGCTGATTAAGTCGTGATTATCAGCAAATGTTTTGATTCGAAGTAGTATAACTTTTTCTAAACCATTAGAGAAAACAGAAATAATTGAAACGGGTCGAGAATTGCCCAGTTCGTTTTTATTTCTTTTCTTATATAAAACTGTTACCTTCGCTAGTTGCATTTGATAAGAAAACACGCCGTTTACGAAACAGAGATTGGATATGTGTGCTAAGGCAAGAGAGATAAGATCAATTACATATTTAACTGGTTTGATCTGTAATCCATCAGAGTCGCAGCTTTTGCTATTTTTAGTAGATTAAAGACAGATGTTACCTCCGAAGCAGTAACAGGCATAAGAAATATGAATTGATAATTTCGAGCATTGATATATTTCCAAGCATCTGACTATGGATGTTCCTTAACTAGACTTACAAAATAGTGATTAAACGCATTTGAGAATGCTTGTCCTGACAGCTCTTGACCGTTGTGGAGGATCTTTAAAACTTGCTTCGTGGCGCACGAACGACCCAAGACGGAGTTTCGTTTTTTCCACACAACGTCGACTCTGTTATTACAAGAAAGAAAAAAGTCACAAAATTAGATTTTCTTAGCATTTTGAAGTTTTTTGTTTAATTGGTTTCGATAACGTTTAAGAACTGTTAGTTGTTCAATTGATTTTGTTTTTACAAATTTTTGATATAACACATTTTTAGTACAAATTTTTGTGAGTAATTCCTTTGCAATCCGTAGTTTACGACTTCTTCTATGAGTGCTTAATTTTTTATACGGAAAGCAGCTTTGATATAGTTTTTTTTTTTTTTAATTTGTTAAAGAACAAATTATACGCTTTATCTACGTTCGTTTCATGAAGGACATCGTCCCAATCCAGACAAGATAGGTCCTGTACGAATTCGGTCATGTTATCAGGCGTTATGTTTTGAAACTCTACAGCTAACTGATCATTATATTTCATGTTTATAGTTTGCTTTTTCTTTATACACAAGAATATACCCAAGTGATCGCTTATGTCAGCTATCGCTACGCCCGATTTGATATATGATGTTCGTAGCTTGTAATAAATAAATTCAATACTGTCGATAATTCAGTTGTAATTCTTGTAGCAGCATTTATCATATTTTTACATCCGTTCGATTTAATTAACACATCAAATCAAAATTTACATGTCGTCTCAAGTAGCACGTTAACATTAAAATCGCCTCCCAGTATTACGCTGTATTTATTTCCATTCGCGAACTCGAGAAAACACTAAGTAAGCAAAAAAGGAAGAGAGGTTCCCACTTGGCAGGTGATAACAGACAGCTGGTCTCCCCTATCAGTAAGGACAGCATCTCGTAGTCTTTGTAAACGAGGCAATAATCAGATCGCATCTCACCGGAAATCTCAGCTTTACTATTAGGGCGACGCCCCCGCCACGACATTTCGTGCGGCTTTAAAGGTAACTGTTGCACATTGGCAAATTTAAAACGTTATTATTATCCCTAAACACGTCTCTAAAAGCAAAATTATAGCAAACGAACATTCGAACTGATCAAAAAATAATTCAAGCTCGTCTGATTTATTTCGGACTAATCGAGCGTTCAGAAGAAAGCATTTAAGAGAATCGATATACTCGTTCCCTAAAAAAGATTTCACATTCGAAGGAAGAAGATAATCATTGGACATTAAGTTCCGTTTACTCAATAAATTATCCGTGCCATCCAGTTAAAAAAAAAATTTAACACTCAGTGCGTATCGCGTGAGGCGTCACACCAGATTCTCTAAGTCGTCCACAGACCTAATCACGTCCACTTGCTGGCGAACCTTCTTGCGCACAAGGACGTGGCCGTTTTCGTACCAGACGTACCGATAATTCTTTGGTTTCGCCCATTCTTTTTGTCTCCCAACGAAGGGATCGGTCTTGTTGGGTGAGATTTTCTTGAATGCAAGCATCGTCTTTTGACTTCTTTAGAATCTACCATTTACTGAGCCATTCATCTCTGATTGTCTGATGAGCGAAGCGAACAATCATGCCAGGTATTTTATCTGCTCGGGACGATAAGCGATTAATAGCGGCCACTTCGTTCAGATCCAACTCTGAACACAACCTCATTCACTTTGGCACGCAAATCCTCGTTGTCACTCTTACGAATTCCGTGAATTTCTAGATTTTGTTTTCGGCTTCGCCATTCCATTTCGCTGACTTCCCGCCTAACTTCTAAGCCTTCTTATTTCTCCGCCGGAGTCGGTTTGTTCCAGAGTTTCTATTCGTTTCTTTAGATGTTTGTTTCCCTTCTCTGCTCAGCGAGGTGATTCAGCACTTCGTCGTACTTGTCCAGCATTTCCTGCATAGATTTTCTATGCCACTCACGGTTTCCTTTAGGCTCATTAAGCTATCTAGTTTTGCGTTGATGGAGGCGAACATGACAGCTAAGTTGAATTCGTTTTCCTCCTTGGCACCCTGACTTTCAGCCCGGGATTTTACAACTTACACGTTTGGCACCGCCATATCTTACGTAAGGCACTGCCTTTCGCCCTAAAAGTCGCTTCGGAGATTCCGGAACAGAGACTTAGCTGATAAGCGTATCCACACTCCAAGCATGCCAATCCTGGATCAATATCTGACACTTCTCTATTACACTTTGGACAAACATAAACCATACTTCAGCTTTTGAAACTAGACGGCGTCAGCGGCGGCAGCAGCGGCATGCGCCAACAATGTATGAACGTAGTAAAAGTTCAACCGACCTGCGACGATAGCAGTCACGATAAGTCTTGCACTTCGGTGTGCTGCCGCCACTGTTGTGAGCCGCACAAGGGGAAAGCTGTTCTTTTTCACTTCGGCGGCTGGTGACGCAGTCTTGCGACGTGGACCAAACCGCAGCCTGTCGACGAGAGCACTTCCCGTGGCGATCGCTGCATGAGAGGCCTTAACGAATGGCCCGTGCTCCCCGTATGATGAGGCCTGCAACGAGAGCAGTCGTGATAAGTCTTGCAGTTCGGTGCGCTGCCGCCACTGCTGTGAGAGCTTCGATCGGAAATCGTGAACACATAGTACGCAACCCAAAATGCAGCTTTAGCAACATAACACACCATACTTGACAGCAACGGAACCAAGCCCGAATGTCTGAAGTCTTTTATTTCACAAGCTTAAGGAAATCTACTGTTGTGTTGAAGAAACAATATGACCACTACCCCTCACGTCATTATTTCTCAATTTTTACGACATTATTTAGCCCTAAACGTTAAATAACTTCACGGTGGTATCAGAGATGCAAATATATATAACAAGTAGGCAAAGTTACGAACGGTGATGTTGCTCACCTTGGCTTGTGATAGCCAACGTCTGAGGTCTCCCGCGTACTCCATCTGAAAGTCCGCAAAACTACGCATTTCAAGCGCCCAACGGCTTTATGGAAAACCGTTTTCTATCAAGCCCCGTTCCGCGCAACAAATTTCGGACTCAATGATAGGCAGGTAACCTACCAAATGGTGCGATGCGTACTTTGTAGCCTACTTTTCTTAACGGTCGGAGGGCTCTATCGGAGTCTGTGTACGCCTCGTGTATTCCAATCTAATCTTGAGCTGGCAAACTTCTTATGATAACGAGCGTTCTTTGATGCAGATTAGCAATCTGCCGAGCGGGAGAGAAAAGAAAACAACCGGCATTTGTGCAACTGGGAGAACACGGTAAACGCGGGATGATTCTCTTCTAAGCCCGTCTCTGGTTAAGTGAACGTAGAGAAACACTAGTTTTGTAGAAGTTGTAAACACTGACAGTTTAAGAAAAGCAAGGTTTAACTTAATACTTAAAACATTAAGATTAAAAACACCGATGACGTTTACAGAAACCACAGTCTTTCAGTTAGCAACGACGAATGTTTATTTTCGGGCACGGCAAATTTGCGCGTCGGCTAGGGTCCAGATAAAGAGTGGGGAAGAACACAAGGGAAGGCTTATAATCGGGAAGGCAGATAAGGATCGAGCCACCGTATCGTGACCGTCCATGCTTATAATTGTTTCTATTAATGGCCTAATAAAATACATTTCTCGTCTTGCCAATGCAGATCAGACGCTCTTTCTTTCTTCTTCTTTTTTTTTTTGAAGGAGCTTTGGTGGGTTTTAAGTCAAATCGATGACCATCTGTTCCTAGGGAGACGAAACGACAAATGTTTACTTTTGTGTTTGAAAATAAATGTTCGTCGTTTTAAATAAACCTGAACGTTTTGAGGTTTCGAAAATAAACATCCGTCACACCGTACCGTGACTGTCTATGTTCATGATTTTTCGAGTTCTGGCCTGATCAAATTCATTTCACGTCATGGCAAAGCAAAGGATGCACGCTAGACGTTATTTCTTTGCTTTTTCGGTGAAGGTTTCGATGACTTCAAGTCCGAATCGCCGACTATGTCTTCCTAGAAAGGCGGTACGACTAATGTTTATCTTCGTGCCCGGTAGTTTATTGTAGTCTGTCAACGTCCTCCGTACTTTCACTATTTATTTTTTTACTATTCCCTATTATAACACGCTCGCTTTAACGCGTATTACGCCCGAGTTTTTTTGTTTTTTTTTACTTCGGGATTTCTTTTTTTTGACTGTCTTATTGGCTAATATTGCACTTTCATTGGCTGTGGGCCGATTATAATAGATGCCCTGTACCTAAACACGCCCTTCGGTTTTTAATCTTCAGTTGACTATATAGTATGCACCGAAGACTATTTTTGTTGAGGTTAATGTTGCGAACCTCTTAAAGGAGCTGCACCATATTTTATCTTAGGCCCGCGGCGATGCATTGGTATCTAGAAAGCGTAACGTTCACTCCGGTCCATCTTAAGCTGCCAAAACTTATGTATTCGATAAAAAAAAGCTACAAATGCAATGAAAGTGGCCTCGGCAAATATTTAGTTAAGCTGCTCTTTATGAAGACGGGGTGTCCGTTGACAGCGCCGGAGTGCAGGAACTAGCGTTTAGTTTTATGCTAATGCATGTACTGTACAAATTCTGTTTCTCTGTGTTCAAAGTAAAAAAAAAAAGACAATGTGTGAGACATGGTCAATGTTTCTTTTATTGCCATAAACTGATATCAGGTACCTTCAAAAGACCGAGGAAACTATTTTTGGAAACATACTTGTGGAAAAACACGCACACAAAAAGGAGTTGTTTCTCGGCGATGGGAGCTTTGTTTTATATTGACAACAAAAGAAAACTAAACATAGAGAATGCATCGGTCCTCAGTTGTAAACTGTGCTTACAGATTGAGTCGTGACCATACATGTCGGTGATCTCAAACATGAAGCCGCTTCTGCCAAGCAGATTCTGCAGACCCTCACACTGGGTTGATTTAAAACGAACTAGCGGAGCTCCGACTGTGTGAGTTAGTTTCTCATACACAAACAAACACTGCATTTGCCTTGCTCATAAACAAAAAGCTCAGAACTTAAGCGCGCAAAACGCTGGTACGTTACGTGCTGAAATCACATAGGAACTCACTGTGTTCACAAGTCGCACGCCACTGGAGCCATCGCGTCTCCTTCTCGAGTAGGTAAATACTGCTGTAGTGGCACAGTCCTTGGCACTTTCTTTGTCCTCGAGTCTGTTCATTGTTTTCATTCTAGGGCGGTACAGCCTTTTTCACATGGCAGCCATTACATAGTTTTTTAAATAAAATCTTACTCGGAGTTTGTACTGGAGATTTGCTCTATATTTAACCTCACCGTAGTTTATGACAGGTAAAGAGTTAGCGGAAACTCCTACCAACTCTCTCCACTTTAGCAGAGCGAACGCTGGAAAGGAGGCGAGCTTATTTCCGGCGTTCGCTCTGCTAAAGTGGACAGAGGTGGGAGGAGTTATCTCTGAACTCTTAACCTTTCACCAACTTTATACTTTTTTCCACAATGGCGCAGCCATCTTGAATGACGTCACTTCTGGTATGCGTTAAAACATCGTTTTGATCTCTCCACGCCGCTGGAAGGTGTTCGAGAGAAATGCGCGATTTACACAGATTTCACACACCACGGCAGAAAAGAGGATCGCCGAACGATCATTGCTTATGGCATATAATATACATTCTTAAATTCGAACAAATTTGGATGTCCTCGACGATAGAATTAAGCTGAGCAGCTCGTTGCTTGTATTTTGGGATTCTCGGCTCGTTTTGCTTTTCTGCCGGCCAGCCACTGCAGAAAACACTCGATGCTCCAGACGACTCCTGTCCCAAAGGACACTGCTGCCAGCAGAGCGTACAGGCTCTCGTAGGACTTGCCCCGATCTCGGTAGTGACCTGAAACGATGAACATTACTTTTATTGCATTCTAGTCCTAACATTTATGACCAGTGCTAAGATGTTCATCAGACCTGGTCCGCATTGGCAGGGAATTCCAGGGATGCGACGGAAAAACCTGTTCACGCGGGTGCTCACAGGCGCGTCGAGTCCTTAGGGACATCATTATTGTGTTCAACTTATTGTGTCTTGAACGAGATACACAACCTTAATAAACACGCTGCTACAATAATGGTAAATTTGTTACAGTTGTAAATTTGTTTCCTTCGCTCTGTCACATGAAGTAATTTGAAGAGTGAGCATGACAGTCACCAATAGGATTTGCAACATTCATAACAATCGTGTACAAACAAAATTACCGAATAACCAGAATAACCTCAGGTGAGACCGAGAGACGTAAGCCGACTTTACAGTTGGGCTTATGGCACCTGCGTTTACCCTATATTGAATAGTGACGCTCAATCTCACGCAGTATAAAGTAGAATTTCAGTGAAGTAAACAGACCGCACGTGACGGTGCTGCTTGACAGTTAAGAGAAGTTAATGCTCGGTATATGCGTTTTTACATTTTATGCCGTTGATGATTCTCTACGAATTCCGTGAATATAAAATTAAGATGAAAATGAAATCACACTTTTTGCGATTTTTTAAAATCTGAGAATGAGAAGGAAACCTTCAGGACAAGTTTTCTTCTTGTTTTCTTATTTATATTTTGATCTCGTTGATGTATTAAAGAAAATTCACCAAACATACAACACTGCATTGGAATCATATTTTTTGCGACTAAATACCAATAGTAATCGTGATGTTTAAACTCTGAGACAAGGAAAACAAACTTGAGAACAAGTTGTCTTCAAGTTTTCCTTCCCAGTCTCGCGCGGCTTACAATTATAACATCATAATTAATATGCATCAGCTCCTCCGCACTTTAACCGCTTGTTCCACCAATACAAAGCCGCCGAGCGTCATGCGAATGATCGGCCTGTTGACCACCTGGTGTCTATAGTCACGCACAGCTTGAAAAATTCAGCGCATGGTCAAATAAGCTGCCGCTTCTTTCTTCGTGATCTGTGCTTCGGCATTCTTTTCGGTCAATGCCGTAATCTCGTTGGCCGCGGAGGGATAATGCTTGCTGCGCCATGCGTCTCTTGTAAGCAGTCAGTGATCACTGCAGAACTCGTCGCTGACTTCTCTCAAACGTGCGTGTTTGTAGTGCCGTTTCTAAAACGTTTACATCATGGTAACGTCCCTAGTTCAATCCCTGATCACAGGGGGCACGCACGAGCACGGCTCCTACTTCCCGGTAGGAACAGTAAAGAAAGTATATTATTAGACTCCCTCTAGCGGAAAGGTATGTTTATATTACCAGTGCAATTAAATATGCGAGTGAAGCGTGTCATTCCGGTAAATAGCCCTAGCGTTCGAGTCTAACCATAGCCTCTTATATACTGAAAAAGCCTGGCAGATCGCCACGGGAAGCGGCCGCCGAAATGAAAAAGGTGGAGCGGCAGACAACGGATGAGAGGAGAGCCACGTGACTGGCGCGCCGCTGCGGCGACGCGCCGAAACATACTTCTCCCGGGCGAACAAGTGTGTTTCGGGTCGTCGCCGCTGCAAAAGCTGTGCACTGACGTCCAGGTTCCCCAAGAAATGGCACTTTGATGCTCTGTGCTACCAGATCCTCGCACTCCAAATATGCGACCGGGCGCTGTATGGCTCCGTCGTCGAACTGCTAGGCTTTGTGAGTATAGAGGAGGCTATGGTCTAACACTATCTCTAGTGAAAGTACCAATAAGAATAAGAAACTTATTGGTCCAATAAACGGATACGATAAAATTTTAACATGTATTAACCTTATAGGAACATATAGGAACAATGTAAGATTATATAAGAATTCATAAAAAAACTGACAATAAGTTTTTTTGTTTTTTTTATATACCGTTAGCAAGTGTTTCGAAATGCATCTTTGGTGCATCGAAACGCATGGAGGGGGGCACGATAAACAAAGGGCAACAGAAAACGCGTGGGAACGCACGATAACGAGGCAATGGATTTGGGGTTACACAAACACACGACGTCCGCAAGGAGCAGACGAACTTGCGCGCCGTTCAACTTCTCATGTAATCCTATATAGTTCTTATATTTTCTTCTAAATTTATCGTATGCTCTGATGTGATCTTATTTGATTATATGCGTTTATTGGACCACCAAATTTTGATACGTATATGATTTTTCACTAGGGATAGGCCATCTCGGCTAGCAAGAACGCGTTAAAAAAAAAAAAATCCGTAGGTTTCGTTTTTTTTTTTTTTCACTTTCATTCGGCTGAAGAGCCTCAGAGTTATCAAAAAGACGATATATTCCTTTAGAGCCTAAGAAAAGGCGGGCGTGACACAAGGAACCTCATCATCGTTTCGCTGTGAATGAGATCACTGCATTCACCGATAAGGGAACCAAAGAACAAAGCAGGAAGCGTATAGTTTGAACGTGACAAGCCACGTCGTTCATTTCTTAAGGCTGACATTTTTCTATAGAGGGGGAGACTGCATCCGTATCATACCTATGAGTAGAGGCCTGGGAAAGGTCGCCAGTCCGTTGACTAGACAGTGGAAGCCGATGGTCATGGGCAGTTTCTCCAGGCCAAAGTACTCGACGAGGAGGACGGAGAACAGGATAATGATGCTGCCACTGGCCACACCGAAGACGAAGCTAGTCGTGCCAAGCAGCGCCATCGAGTGCGAGTGGACCAGAGACACAAAGGACCCGGACAGGACCAGAAAGGAGGCTGCCATAACGTGTCTCCTGCGTGGGTGAGGCAAGAACGAGGTGTCGTGTAGGTCTTCGACGACATACTTTTTTTTTTTTTTTTTCAAATTAAGGCTCCGCATTGATTTGAAAAGGATTTGAGCCCTTTTTTTAATATTAGACAATCATGGGTCAGAAAGTCTTAGAAACACTAACTGGACGAGAACGGCAGAAATGTTTCACCGTTCTCCCGCTACGCCAAATGCAGCGCAAAACCCGCTTACAGATTTCCAAGCAATCGGACTGTGCATGTCTTCTCAAAGCTCAGCTGATGCCAGAACATTGTTGGAGGGCAAGAGCAAATGCTCAAAGCTCGGCATGAAAACTGAAAGACCTGTAGGTGGTTCTTGCGAATGACTTTGGGCGTATTTGTTTTCCAATACAATGCATTCCCTGCTAAACTTTCAGAAATTTGCAAAACACTCCGGAGAAATTCGATATGAAAAGCGCTCGGGCAGAGCCCTAAAGGACACTGAGCGCATACGAGAGCCTGTCAAAAATGTTTTATCTAGAGCCCGCCTCATGCCTCGCCGATCAACAAGTGGCAAAACCCGTAATGACAATCCAAAGACGGGAATGCGAAAACGATGCACACACACGGTGGTTATTAATCGGGTTATATTAACCGCTGTTCCCCATTTGCGCACATTTATTTTAAAACAAAACGAGTTGGGCCATCGGTTTTGAATGAAATGCAAACAGTGACGGAACTTCCAGAGCACTACCGGCGCAGAATCGAAGCTTGAGCGAGGTTCGAATATATCGGAGTACGACGCACATCCTCGCAACGCCCCGAAAAATCCGGCAGGTTCTGGTATAGAACCAGGAACCTCTCCATTTCTAGTGGAGCGCAGTACAAACTGAGCTAACCAGGAGTTAGACGTCACTAGAGCAAACGGATTTTATCAGGTTTAGCACGATCACCACAATTGGTGCCATTATTTTGGGTACTCTTAACGTCAATGTGTGAACTGTGGTCAAAAGATACACGGTAGACCTCATGTGAAACATATCTCCAGGAATACTACAGCCGGTGATAGGTTCGAAGTTTAGTTGAAGCTCCTCCCATCTCTTTCTAATTTAGCAGAGCGAACGCTGGATAGGAGGCGACCTCCTCTCCAGCGTTCACTCTGCTAAAGTGAAAAAAGCTGGGAGGAGCTTCACCTGAACACTTTACCTGTCACTGACTATAGTTTCCACGGAAGCATACGAGGTTCTTTTTTTTTTTTTTTTCGGGAGGTTTTTAAGACTGCGCTTAAACAGAAGCGCTCCCTCCCCCCTAACCCCACTCTGCCGCCTCCCCGTCCCTTTCGAAATAATTCAACCGTAATGTTCAATAGTCATGAGCTTACCAGATAATTTCGATACTGAAGCTATCTTTGTTTTTGTTCTTTTATAATTCTGTCAGCCTACTGGCAAAACTGATATGGAATACTAATGTTTACCTTCGGCATATCTTCCGATCGGAAAGCTGGCCAGAGAAGATGCGTCCGATGAGATCCCCGCAGCCGTAGCAGGAAAGGAGCAGGGCCGCCTCCCACTTGCTGTGCCCGTGTCCGATGCCATAGTCCACAATGGTGACGTTGAACATGACCAGGTCGTACGCGTACACCACACCCGTGACAACGATGACGTAGTACATGGGCCTCTTGAAGAAGGATAGTTCTTTCCGGAACGTAGAAAGCGGCTTCGTTTGCTTCTCCGTAGGGGGTTCATCGACTTTCTGGAGAGGAGTCAGCGGTTCCTCTACTGTCCTGGCTTTGGGCCGGCGCTCTTGAGGTCTGCTGATCAAGAGCGAGCCGGCAACGGCGTTGAGAGTGAAGCCACCGACGATGAGCAGTGTCCCTCGCAGTCCGTACGTCTCATTCAGGTACAGCAGGATTGGCGGAAAGACGAAGGACACGAGCGTTCCGCCGACGTAACTGATGCCACTGCCAGAGGCACGGTACCTTGAGAAACGAAAGTAAACCTGCGATAAGTCTTAACAGGCATTCGCTTAAAACCAAGTCTTCATAGTATGGGAAGACAATTCTAGTAGATATGAGCCCACCTAATTACATATATATTATGCTTTAACGGGAACACTTTATTGCAAGTATCACAAGTCGGTTCAAATTAAATTGTAAAAAAAAATTCAGCCAATGTGTAATTAGAAACAGAAAGAAACTGACGAAACTTGCACCAATAATACAGAAAAGAAATCGTTATGCTGTGCGTTTTTCTTTTTATTTTTCTCTGCCCTTTCTTATTGATAAGGGGAAGATAAATTTCTGGTTTTAATTTTTTGTGTGTTACTCTATTGTCAGATTTAACCCACTACCACTGCATTTTTTTTTAATTAATCTTCTGAGTCACATTAATAAGCCCCTTTTCGTTCTATGTCAGCTGGTCTTGCCGATTTCTGATAGTAGGACAATTAAACAACTATTAGAAGAGACCAAAGAAACCATGAAATCTTTCAAAATGTCGAATAGCATAGGTTTAATGACCCGCCGTATTCTGCAAGGCAGGGCGAAGCAGAGCCTTACTTCCTTGTAATGTTTGTATCTGCTGGCTAACCGGCTGATTTCAAACCGATTTACCTGTATAATTTTTCCTTCTTCATTCATATCATTTTGTAACATTTTGGCCCGTAGCCTCGAGAATAGGTCTTTTTGAAGGCAGCGCGCTCGCGAACAGGCAGCGTTTTATTAAAATAAAGGAAATCGCACTGATCCTCACTATTCCACGAGCACTGCAGCACGAGTCAGAAAAGCTGCATTTTAATTAATTAACTTAAACGCCACTGGCTCTGGCTTCCAAATTTGGAATCTGAACTAAAATATCACGATAGCTTTAATTTAAACAAACACGCACGAAAGTAAATCATCATACACTATTGTCGAAGCTTCCGTCTCCCGCGATTTCAAAATCTTAAAACACTATAGTCCGTTGCAACTCAAAAAGGTATTGGCCTCGAGATCGACCTAGAGGTGGCGCTACGGTCGCGCTATCATCATCATCAAAGTGGGGATAGGAGAACGGCCGCCCCATAGGCTCTCCACGTTCGCGCGCAAGACGGCGTATATTCTTGCGTTTATTTTGATGCATACTATCGATGGCAAAAACAATTCTAGCGGAAAAGGATGCGGTACTGTTCGGTGCTTCAGTGAAGATCGAATCGTGTTGCAGGCGTGCGGCCTAAATTTATATAATCGCTTCTGTGGGTGCGTCGTCTGCTCCAGGCAGACGTTGGAAAGCATGGATCCCCACGACTGATTCCTGTCTCCGGCTGAACTGGAATATTTATGTCAAACTATTTCTTGTTATTCTTTTAATGGATGTATTGACTCATCAAGGTGGCAATTAAAAAAATTTTCAACCCAGATAACATAATACTGGTACTGTGGGCTGTGAAATCGCAGCTTCTATGCTTGTTTTTAACTTCTAGCTTTTGCAGTAATATTAATATTTATAATGAAGTTAGCGCTGTATTGGAAGTTACCATGCTGTTGAGTTCCTCTGCCCTTTTACTGTGCCTAAGTGGGTAAGTTTTGTGGAATCGACTGCGTTACGATGAGGAGAGAGTGTCTCTTCTAGTTAAGATCTGCAAATTGTACGGTTGGCAGGACAACTGAATCAAGTGAAACAAACTGTTCTGATATATCTGCCGTGACTGTAATAAACGAGTGTAACCGAGCAACGCAGCAATGTTCCTGTTATTACATGCTTTTCTCGGTAGTGTGGGTTCACCCGCTTCAATTTTCTTGGTGAGGGCCGCGGATGTCAAGAGGGTAATATACTATAAATTTCTGGCTAAATAATCTTGTATTGAAACACAGTAGACTCTGCAAACCCAGCAAACGGCGGCACCACGACACAGACAGCATCGGCCGTAGTGATACTCTTTTACTGCTAAGGGCTTACGAGGCTTCACGAGACTTTCCGATCACCCTCCGCCCTCAGCTAACGTAAGACTGAGCAGCTCATCGATTTACTTGCAGATTATTCAAGTAATGCTTTAATTGCAATTTTTTTTTCTGCCGGTTAATTGGAGTCTTGTGGTGGAGAAAGTCAACAAGGAGTAAAATATGACTGCTTTAATATTTTTGACGTCTTTATTTCTTTTGTGACACTGGCTTGCACGGTAAAGCACTTCAGCGTGCTTGTCATTTCACCGCGGGTGATTATAGTGTTCAAATAATAACTTAAAAAATACTTCATTTTAAAAGGCTTCCCGTGTTCACATTTATATGTAGAACTCACAACGTGAAGTTTATAATGGGAATGCAATATGCCACCTATGAGTTATAGGTGGCATATTGCATTCCCATTTTATTGGTTTTACTATGTCATAGGCTATGATATAATGAAACCAGTAAAAAAATGTGCAGTTTTAACGTCTTTCACGCAATATGAGCAATATGCTTTATGAAAGCCACGGTTTGTGCGAGATAACAAAAATACGTGGGACCAGCGATTGTATACAAGCCAACACACTAAGATTATGGAAGCTTCCGACTTAATAATAATCGCTTTGCTGAATTTCTACGCATGGGAAACGATTCAACAGAACCTTTACTAAGAAGAAACAGCAACGAAAACATAAACCATTTAATAAGGAATGTCAAGCTCAGCCTAAAACGGGCTTGCGTCGTCGAGATCCATACTTCTGAGCGTGCGCCCGTAGCAGACGACGCACGGCGGTATCCCCGCTTTCGCGCGTTTCCAATTTCGGCCGCACGGTGGCGACACGGTTTGATCTCGAGGCGAATAGCGAGGGTAAAGCGGGCCGGGGAGGAAGAAGCAGACGGAACGGTGGAGAAGAGAGGGGGAAACCTCGTTCTCTCTTTAGCGTTCCGTCTGCTTCCTCCTCCCCGTCCCATCTTTTCCTCGCCCTACCTTCCTGAGTTGCAACGGACTATGGTGATAAAAAAAAAAAAATTTCTAATCCAATTTATGTATTTGTTCCACTTGCATTCTTATGGCTTCACTAAAATCAATTCCTTCATTCTACCGTTATAATTACGTTACATTAGTATGGAACCTATATGTTTAAAAGCTCATGCAGCAGCACGCCTCCCGGTTAGTACAATTAAATATGTACCGCAATCTGAGCATTATGATAAATTTTATTTCTTTTCTAGTACTCATATTTGGAAAACTTGTTCCCATCACCGCTTACAAAAAAAATTTCAGGGACTCACTTTTGAAAATAGCTGTTGATGGCGACCATGTTTGAAGGAAAAATCAGGCCTTGCCCAATGGCTATCGAACAAAGCCAAAAACAAATTGTGTCTTAAACAAACAATATATTACGCCATAGAGAACAAAGAAAAAGTGCAATTGTATATCATACTTACACGTAATAACGCCCAAAGAAATAATAATGGCAGTTATGTTGTAGACCGCAGCACAAAGAAGCACTCCGGTTGCCACTAGAAGACTTCCCAGAATGGACACTGTTTTTAGGGGAAGTCGTCTTATTAATACACCGGACACGACAGCTGGAAAGAAAAGATCAGAGCAAGCATATATTACGATAACATTGAAAGTAATATAATATTAGCTTAAGCGTTCATTTACAAACGATATGCATCAAGATTTACTTTAAACTCACTCCGTTGTTACAAAGGATAGAGATATACAAAAGACATAAATATGCGTTATTGGGAAGGTCAGTGGCGTAGCCGGGGGGAGGGGGGGGGGGGTCATGTGTGTTAAGCCTCCCCCCTCCCTAAAGTACAGTCGACTTCATAATATACTTCGGCCTTACGCCCCCTGACACCCCCTTTACAAGTCATTGAGATCCCACTCATCTCAGCATGACCCTAAATAAATTCCTATTCGGAGTCACCTAAAGAACGCTAAAGCAGATTAGATACAACAGATCCGTCAGCGTCGTGTTAGTATTCTCGTTCAACTTCCGCTAAGCCATATTTCGCTATTTATTGCGGAAATGGCATCGGTGGCATTGGTGAAAAATTAGCAAATTGTTGGCATAAAAAACAACAATGGTAAGGAAAAACAATGCAATGAACCGGCAGCTTGAAAAGTATGCTATAGGCTCCTCGAAAGTATACTACGGGCTCCTTCCCTCACTTCGTAGACCCATATATTTGTTGCTTCACGTTAATACAGTAACTTTTTTCAGTTCTCTATAGGGAGTTTTCGTAGACCGCGTTGCCCCCTCCGCTAAGCGTTCCGCTACGAAGAAGTTGCTACTGCGCCTGCGCGCCGATAGCCTTGACTGTGGAGTTCCCGCTATCGTAGCGGGTTGCGGAGGGCCTTGCGGGACGGCGAAAACGATCTACGAAAACTCCCTTATTTTGAGCGAGACTTCGACGAACCCCATTTTATGTATAGGTGGGGCAAAAAAGTTTAAAGACACGAGTTTAGTGGGGCGTGTTGGAACACAGCAAAGCAGTCAGAGACCTTGCTAAGAACACCAGGCTCGAACAAATGTAACAGAAATATTTCCACAAACATGGCAGATGAAAGGTCCGCCAGGCACGAGCTCGCCCCTATTTTGTCCAGAAAGTTTGGAGCATGCCAGTTCTTGTGAAACCCACCGTTTTCCGAATGTGCGGTTTAAGAGCGCTTTTTTTTTTTTTTCAATATGAACTTGAGTGGGTGTGGTACAAGCGATAGCGAACATTCTCTTGTGCAGCAAAGCTATAATTCGTTTCATCATTGATAAGAGCGCAATCAAAAGCAACAAGGCAATGGAGAAAGGGACAGACAGACTAAAAGTTCAAGATCATAACGCGTGTGCTGCCCTTGATTAATTTAGGCGACGATAGTACACAGGTCAGATAAATCACAAACACCGCGACGTTGTGTTTATTAGACTGTCTAACGGCCCACATGCTGCCAGCCTTGTCAGAAGTGTGTTCCGCATCCCTTAGAGGGTTACGGTGAGCCCGTTGCGGGACGGCGGAAACTATCTACCCAAACTTCGTAATTACCACACATGCAGGTCGCGTTATTGTAGTCTGCATGCCTTTCAAACCCTTCCCATGAAAAAAAAGGTTTTGACGACTTCTGTAGTTGTTCAATGTGATAACATTTAAAGCGAACCCTCCACACTTTTGTGTCCGTGAATCGGTTAACCAACGAAGCATGCGGCCCGCACCTTTTGGGTGCATACTTATATAGTACATTTAACGGCTAATGTGCCCAACGATTGTGGTAGCATATATAGTACTTTCTGAACGGCAAATACAATCACCAAGGGTCTCATTATGTTAATATACATATTTTGCTTATATGAATATACTTACGCATTTCAATTACAGTAATGCTACAACACAAGTCATTGGTTGGTCTGGTCCCGGGAGGCACTTACACAAGAAGTGGACAGTTACACCAAAGAAATCACGTGAATCTATTTCAAATTTGGTAGAATACTTCATGGGCGTGGCGAAAAATGATGCTAGAATTTATACAGCAGTTCCTATGCAGTTTAATGAAACAAATATTTACGCGGTACAAGACGGTGCAATACAGTGTAGTATTTGAACGACAATCTGCGCGGGGATTCCGGCAACTTCTTTCTCCCTGCCCAAATGAACTCGGTGTCTGCAACGTGTCCAGACCAGGTGACCTACCGAAGATGTTGGACACAGCTCCGAGGAGGCTGAAGGGCCAGGACGCCGTCTCTCGGGACGCACCCATCTCGGAGATCATGGTGACAAAGACGATGCCTCCGCACCGGTTCACAATCATCGTCCAGAAGAAGCACCAGCCACAGGCAGCGGCCACCACCCAGCTCCAGCCCGTGTCGTGATAGGGCAAGCGCCGACGTCCGGCCTTGTCATCCGCCGCCATGACTCAGTGCTGAATTGTCGTGCGTGAACTCCGAGCAGCCACCGGTACTTCTCTGTGAGGTCTGGTGCTTTCCACTAACTCGGATTTGCACTACAGCGTCCCAACGAACCGCTGATGGTTGTCTGTAAAAGCTACATCAAATGCAATTTGTGACATCGGTAGTTGAAATCGACTAGCGCCCTTGATTAGCACCTGATGCGGCAATTGATCAAGCCGTATTAAAAAAAAATAATAATAAAGCGTTTCTTTTTTGTTTTTTTTAGAAATCGATTTCTTTTTTTTTTTTAGTAGGGTACGCTGGTTGGGGTAGTTGGTTCATCTTAGTAAAACATATAAAATAGCGCAAAAAAACACAAGGAAAAGAAGTAGTCAGGACAGGCGCTAATTTTTTAACAAGTTTTATTCAGGAAAAGTACATTTTAATTCGTGCATTTTGCACTAGGGCTGTTTCTACAGGTGAGCTATACGGCCAGCGGGACATAATCAAGGGGGCTGATCGTTGCAATAAATGTAATAATTAACTTCATTTATTGACTAACTTTTTAATTGGTAAAAATAAACTTATGATTCCGATTATAAGCCCTCTGATCGTCATCGAAAACCACTAAAACAGTTAACGTTACAAGATTTGGAGCGCGTGAGAGTCACGGTAGTTTCCTAAAGTCACCAGTCTAGCAACAGGTGCGAAGCTGGTTGACCGAAAAGGCGGATGATAAGAGACGAAAAAACTGCACGGGCGCATTTTCGCCCCAGCAGCCTTGCGCCTGTTGCACCAGTGTTAACCTTAGAGCACTAGCGCGCTTCCCACGTGCTCCAATCCAAATCTTTCTGAAATTGACTAATTTGGTAGTTTTAGATGACGATAAACAAGTTTGTATTTTTAACCATATGTTTATTCTCATAAATAAGAGTTAATTATTGAACTTTAGCCCAATATTTTGTGTCTCCCTGACCATATAACTCAGCTGCACAGAACACATATGTGAACCTTTGATGTTTTTTTTTTTGTTTTTTTTTTAACAACTTGTTAAACCTAAAAAAAGCACCCTGCTTAGTACTCTTGGTATATGTTCGCTCTTGCAGTCAAAGTCCACCTCATCATGTTGCGACTAGGAGCTTCCTACCCCCGATCTGCAATTTAAACAAAGCTATTATTCACTTGCGGGTGTACTGATATTTCGATTACCTTGCAATACCGCAGACCCTACGAACGCGAAGGAGAAGCAGAGTGCTCCCTTGTATAATATACGGTCGAATAGCTCTCCGTCAGTTCAGATTAAAATAGTTGCCCTGGTCGCTTTTAGGCGGGAAATGGGAACCCAGAGGCGGGAGCAAAACAAATCTTATTATTTAGGCAAGCAATAAGACACTCCAAGAAGTCGTCTCGATCCCAAGTCTGAGTTATCTAGCGGTTTGCTACAAAGACATCTATACACAAACTCATCTCTGTTACGTCACGGCGCGGTGGTGGCGCGTCGGACGCACTTCCGGTCCGGGGCTGTGGGCGGAAGTGCCCATCTGAGACGTATATTCCTGCATTGTTTTGAAAGGAACCAGACAAAAACCTGCCTTCTTGTCAAAATGCTGCGACTGGGGCTGTACCAAAAGGGTCGAGAAAGGTTTGAAGGTCAGTTTTCATGCGCTCGGTTCGTCCGAGAACGTGGATAGGTGCCGTGAAAAGGGAAAACCAGACGCCGTTGGACCTCGATTGCTTGGGCGGGAAGCATTTTGGGTTGAATTCACAGATACTTCTGGCCATCAGATTTATTTGTTTGGTTCCCAAATGAACGCCGGAAAACCGTCAAGTTGTACGAACCACCTGCGGACTACGTTCAGTGCGTCTTCAAGTTCAAACGGTTGCCTGATCGTTCGAACTGTCGTCTGCTCTTTCAAACGCTTCTGCTTGTCGTCTGCTCTTTTAGAGGACACCGGCCCGCAGACCAAACATGGGCCCGGTACTTGCGATGTGGGCCCGGTACTTGCGATAAGAAGTGAGTGCAGGCCTCAAAAGACTTAAGTTTGAAGGTTGGCAAGCAGGCTCGGCGTAAGCAGTAGATACAAGGAGATGTTGATCATTGTTACCAGTGGCCACCACCGACTTGTTATGCCTGATTCACTTGGTTAGGTTCTGCTTGCGATTTTCAGTATCGACGTCGACCATCTCAGCTACGGTTCACACTTTTGCAATCCGAGCGACGTCGCTACTGAAAATTTCGAGCGAAATCTCATCATGTGAATCAGGCTTTAGCGTACATTCTGCGGCGTCCACGCGGAATGAATCGCCGCATGTCAGATTATTCACGCGAAGTTTTGCGGTGTAACAAGCCTCGTTAATTTTGCTGACGCCGCTCAAGTAGTCAGAGATCGTTAGGAGGACGTAGAATCAAATATTTCAACGCGAAAAAGAGCGCGGGGACTCACACCGAGGCCGACAACATCGCATTTCAATGGTTTGTTTATGGGCGACGGCGAGCTTCTTGCCCACACCCCCGTCGCGCATGCGCGGCGCCGGTGGCGTCCGCTAGGGGCGCTCCGGGCGCTCCGGTTTGTTTGTAAACATGAGTTGGTGTATAGGCTCCTCGCAATGACGTCACATCGCATACTTTTGAACACCATGTAAAAGGGGGAGACAGAAGCTGCTTTTGTAAGAGTTTTGAGTGACAGGTTAATCTTCTATATTCTTCTGGGAGGAGAATAGCGACGCCTGTGCAGATCCGAGAGGTACAAGAGAGGGTCCTGAAAAGAGGAGCTCCCTCTTCCCCTTTTCTTTGGAGGGCATCGGAAGTGACGTCATGTGCAAGCCACGTATGGACCTTTTCCGCTTAATCTCGCCCCCGACCGCCAAGTGGGCATACCCCGTATGGGCGAAAAAAAAATTTTAAAACGCTTCAACCTGCAAATTTTGAAAAAATAGAGGGGAGACAAAACGAGAATGGGTGACGGTTACGCTTATCTCCTAAATGCATTCTATTGGCGTTGCGACGACAAAACAATGTTTTCGCCCATACTTGGAAGTGACGGTACTTCAAGATGGCGGCGCCCTTGTGAAAGAGATCTATAGAAAAACCAGACTCGCACGTTCATCCTGAAGAAAATAATAAAAAGGTTTGACTCGAGTTTAGAAATAATATTAAGAATGTTTTCTTGCGATAAGCCAAGAGTCAAAACGGGAAAGAGCCGCATTTTCTTACATAAATACTACATATTTGTATAATCTCATATCTTCACAACTACTAATATCTATAGATACTTTTGTCGTGTGTTTGTAACAATTCAGGCTCAAGTTAAAACGTATTGCGTAAGGTGCCCACTGGGACTACGCCACAATTTTTAACAGTTTGTATTGTGTCAGCGGAATTGTTTTTTTCAACTCTAGGGGATCAATTTATATGAAACGTATTTAACTACGTACACACAGCGCGGTCATGGCCACTAGGTGTTAACCCAAAAACGCACGTTTTCGCCCTCTAAGCAAGTTTGCACCCTTAGGAGTGTAAAACGGATGTTTCAGAGACTTTGTCCTATCTCTACCATACCTCGGCGAAGTCACTCACGAACTCGCTCACTCACACTCACTCACGCTCACCGCGTCATGGTGAAGGGCTGTGAATGGATTCGTGAACTCGGACCAAGTCGTGATGTGAAGGGGATGTGACTTCGTGAACGCGGAAGGAGTCGTGATGTGAATGGGCGTGACTCCGTGAACGCGAAAGAACCCGTGATGTGAAGCCGATGTGACTTCGTAAACGCGGAAGGACTCGTGATATGAACAGGCGTGACTCCGTGAACTCGGAAAAAGCCGTGATGTGAAGGGGATGTGACTTCGTGAACGCGGAACGAGTCGTGATGCGAATGGGAGTGACATCATGAACTCGGAAGGAGCCGTGATGTGACGGGGAGTGACCTCGTGAACTCTGACGCACCCGTGATGCATTGGTGAAGGACTTCGTGACTCTGGTGTAAACGTGATGTGATGGTGAATGAATTCGTGAACTGAATTGGTGATGTGATGGGGACTGAGTTCGTGAACTAGGAGTCAGGACTCAGGATTCTCTACACCCCTTCAGCACAATTATATCGAGTGAGCTTTTGCGAATGTGGTTCTCTTCAATATTTTCTGCCTCAAGAACAGAAGGTCGACCACTAATTTACGCAGCCCACTGCGCAAGTGACAAATGATGCGGTGCATTCTGGATAACATGATTTTCATTTGACCTTTCCATTGATGCAACGAGGTAGTTGAAACATTGACCGACAACTGACAATTACGATCAGTGTGCACAGCCCACTGCCGTCAAACGCGGCAGAGTCACGAGAGCTTGCCAGAATGTATGGGATGCAGCTGGCATCCTCGTCATAATGCGATACATGTTTTCTTCCTTCTTTCCTTTCCTTTTTACGTACTTTCTATAGTGTGTATATTCTGTACATTTAATTCTCTGTTTTGTTTTTTCATATATGGTGGCGTGCTGGCAGCAGACATGTACAAGCTACTCAAAAAAAGTAATTAAGTTGAGTTACTGACTATTAGCTTGAAATTAATTTGAGTAGAGTAGAAATTACTCAAATAGAAAGTAATTGAGTAATTAACTAATCACCGTAAAAAGTAGCAAATTACTTTTGAAGTTACTTTTATTTAGCGAAATTCTGCTGGCCGAATATAAAGCGGCTTGTGTTTTCACATAAATGCTTTAATAGCTTGTTCTGCTTCTGCATGCCTAATTGTTGTGTAGTTCCTTCTAGTCAAGGATGTACTGCGGATGTATAATTTCACCTTTGAGGTTAAGCACTACCTGAGCTTGATTTTGCAGACAGTGTTTGATTGCTTACACTGTTGCGTAAAGTACGTCTAAGAACTACCTGGAAGTACAAAGTAAATGAGAGGTTATGTACTTCGAGTAAAATAGTAAGTACACCGAATGCAATGTACTTGAAGTAAAGTACTATAAATACAATGTACTTCCAAAGTAAAGTTGAAGTACTTTTTAATACACTCTTTCAGAATGCCCTTTCATTCCCTATACAACGTTTTTTTGTTTTTTTGTTTTTTTTTTCTTCTTTTTTTATTAGCCGGTGTGCATCGTTTTAGGGGAAATCGGAGGTGCATCAGTTTTTGTCGGAAAGAACCGCAAATTCAGAAATGCATCAGTTCTTTTGTATTGTTTTTTTGGAAATGGCACCAACTAATACGCCATATAGTAATTGCTTTATTCTCACTGTCAAACCATTTAACACAATCAACTCATAAAGCACTTATTTGTATCGGTTTTATGGCGCCATTACTTCACTCAGAGAGATGACCAGATGATGTCTCGAAAGACAGCACAAGCTATACAGGAGGAGCACCAGATGAACTTCGGAGCGGGTGCAGCACTTTGTTACCCCTTTTGAGTGGGGACCTGTAGAGGACAAGATTTCCTACATTGGGGAGAAGCGGGGATCAGCCCTTTCTTCAAATGCGTCAAGTCTCCTTGAGCTTCGGGACACAGAAACGCCAGTCTTCGGCGCTAATCCCGCAGTTCCTCGGCCTCTCTTGCGTCATGTCTGTTCGTTCCCCACGCCTCGTAGCAGTGTTGTTGCAGTGGGGGGCTCGTTAAAATTTTTGGGGGTTTTGAACTATCCAAATTACTTTCTTCCTCCCCCTTCCTTTTCTACGGCACATGCTTCCCCCTCTGCAAATGTCAACTGACCTTCCAACATCTTATCTCTGTTGATAGGCAAACAACAATTAAAATTCGAACGTAATTAGTAATTTGAGTAGAAGTCACTCGGAAAAGTAGTTAAACTACTAATAACCAAAACAGAAATGTAATTGAAAGTTACTAAACTACACAGAAAAGTAGTTAAACTACAGTAACTTGAGTAAAGTAGCTGAACTACGTACAAGTTTCACTGGCAGGAGCTCTGCGTAGTGGTTTCCACCTATCTGTCTAGCCCCACACACCACCACATCGGCCCCTTCCAGTATGTGCAAATAAAATTATTGTTATAATTATTATTATTATTATTATTATTATTATAACAATCTTGTTTTCAGCTTACAAGTAGTTTGTGCCAAAACAGAATAATATTGCTTTTTAGTTCGCGTTATTTCACGATTTCCATATATCTGCATAAAACTAAACACAGAACTATCATGCTCGACGTTGCACATCCGACCATTCCTAACTCTCCCCAACTTCCTAAACGTCCGTGTGTGTCCTAACACCAGAAACTGGAATTTAAATATTAAAAACGTAACGTTGCGAATATGGAACGCATAATTTCATGCTAAGCTGACGTCAAGTGACTCAAATCGAAAAACATGCATATTTACAATATTGTTATCTCTTCTGGTGAAGGCAAAGCACCCATTGCATTCCTTTTTTCGCACGAAACGGTGACTCCCAGAGAAAGTAAGAACGCAGGGATTGCCTTCATTTTAACAATCTAATCAAACTTGCAGGCGTGCGCTGATGAAGCCTCAAAATCAAAACTCTCGTAGCGTGATTCGCGACTGCGCCGGCTGCTACCCAACCTCGTTCTCACTCTATTTTCTGCAAGTAAACACTAAAATTGCCAGTAACCACACAAGAGGTGCATCGATACTATCTTGTAGAATATCACCTTATTTATTCATAACTCTGTCAATAGGCACTACATGTTGTATTAAAGTTAAGAGAAAAAAACATTAACCTTTTTTCGACAAAAAAAAACTAAATATCAATGTTAAGTCTGGTAACAGTGCATTTTCGCCGAATCATTGCCGAATCTTTAGAAACGTTCGGCGAACGTTGCGCCGAATTTTCGATTCGGCAAAAGTTTGGCCCATCACCAGTAAAAATATGCGACCCGGGGGGGGGGTCTGGTTTGCCCCTCCACTCAAACACAAGTTTGTACGCTACTGATCATAGGTTGTGTCGGCCCGGCTTGTCCGCTGATTGCAACGATTCCAAAACATAGCCGCACAACGAAGTATAAAGACGGCTTTGATTAATACTATTATATAATTTATTAAACTCATTACTACATCGCCAATGAAGCTGAGGACGAATTTCGCGTCCGCCCCGTCCCCTGTCGCCTTTCTCCTGTGTATGTACCCTGCTGCACTTCAGTGGGGCCGCGTCAGGGAAAGTTGGGCAGTGAAATCTTATTTTATACATGCAGCCGGGGATCGCGGATGGTGTCGGGAATCGCGGGTGCATGGCGGATACTCCTCGGTTCACGAGTCCGACTAGCATGTGGCGTCGCAGCAAGCCGCGACAAACTCATCATCCTCGCCATCGTCATCAACAACATCATCGTCATCTAGATGATAACTTATTCGTAATCACTCAGTGCATAGAGATAGCAATGGCAAGTCAAAGGCCATTATGGTAGCATTTTTAGACATCAAAGGGGCATATGACAATGTGAATTAGGAAAAACTCTCGAACCAACTGAAGGGATATGGGCTAGGGGGAACCATGGTTATGTTTCTAGAACGGGTTCATACGGAGAATAGGGTGGTTATAACATGGGAAGCCGAGAATGCAACACCAGCAGCAATAAAACGAGGACGTAGAAAGGGTTGCCCATTGTCTTCCCTGCTCTTTATGATATTCCTCAGTGAGATGAAAAAAAGGTTAGAGCAGTCCATCCTAGGTTTTGACCTGACTCACATGGAGGGAGGACATAAAGTAAATCAAGCATTGCCAGGGTTAATGTGTGCAGACGACATTGTACTCGTATCAGAAAGTCGTGAGACAATACAGGAGCTGACTAGGATTTACATTAGGGAATGTGGCAGTTTAGGCCTAAAATTTAGTACGGACAAGTTGGGTATAAGAGCTTTCAACGACGAGAAGGGGAGACCCCTGGGGATACAGGACACATTGATAGAACCCGTAGGAAAGTACAAATATCTGGGAGTATGGTTAAGTGAAGGAAGACGGTGTCTAAAAGACCATGAAGATATTGTAATAAAGAAGGGGAAACAAGATTCAGTTATCATGAAACACAGGGCACTATGAAACTATAATAGACATGAAGTCTTTAGGGGCGCATGGAAGGGATTCATGGTGCCAGGACTGTCATTTGGGAATGCGGTATTGTGTATGAGGTCAGAAATCCATGCAGGACTAGGGATACAGCAAAGGAGTGTGGGTAGGTTGGCGCTGCGGGCACATGGGAATACACCAAATGAGAAAGTACAGGGAGATATGGGTTGGGCATCTTTCGATAGTAGAGAAGCGATCAGTAAAGTAAAATTTGAACAAAGACTTGCTGAAATCGAGGATACACGGTGGGCAGCGAAAGTGTACAAGTATTTATATATGAAAAGTCTAAACACTAAGTGGACAAACCGAACCCGAAAGCTGAGATCTAAATACATTCAACGAGATGGGGTCGATCAGAGTATACCAGCAAAAAAAGGCAGTAAAGGAAACGGAGAGAAAGTTGTGGAAAGAGAGAATACAGTGGAAATCATCTTTAACAGTATACAGGGCACAAAAGCAAGAAATAAAGAAGGAACCGTTGTATGATAATTCATTGGGGAGCTCATTACTGCTTGAAGCTAGAGCGGGGGAGCTAAGAACAAAAACATATAGGGCTAAATTCCAGAAAATTGACACTATGTAACATATGCAACCACGAAAGGAAAACTATAGAACATGTAATCTTAAGCTGCACGGGGCTTCGTCCCACCCTCTTGGGGGCGATGACTACGGATTTGGAGGGGGCACTGGGATTTGCAGACATGGATGAACGAATGGATAGGGAAGGAATTGCGGTGACAAAGAGGAGATTTTAAGATCGGTAGAAAAATTCTAGAGAGGGGTAAAAAAATAATGAAATAAGTTGAAAAGAGGGAGGGGGGTTGCGTTATAACAAAATGTTTACGAATTTGAAAAAAAAAAAAGGATGACGAAATGTTAGGCTAGGTGGCGCAAGCTGCCGCCCGTCACAAAGGGTATAGCCATTACCATCCATCCGTCTGTCAATACCACCACAATCATCACTGCTATCATAATTTTAATGCTTCTAAATCTGGGGTAGTGCTATAACTCCAAACGCACACGGCGGCAGGCTAGCAGGCGCACGTGCATAGGGGTTTTTACCTATCTGCTTTGCCTGGCACGCCGCCGTGTGCGCACCAATTTAAGTCCAAATAAATCACTCACTTACTCACTCGCCCTTGATTTTGACCCAACGACTTTAAGTGTAACAGCGTTTCTCAAAACGCACTGTTTTGAAGATAGCAGGCAGTCGATACGCGTTGAAATGCTCAGCCTTCAGGGTGTAAATCAGAATGTTCCAGGGCTAGCGCCTTAAAACTAGAGTGCTGGCAATATTAGCATTATTTATAGAAAAATATATGTCTTAAAAGACAACAAATTTACAAGAAAAGCGTGCACATACAGGCGTTAAACGCACGCGCGAGAACAGAATTACGGCCCTGCTGACTTCTCCACTGCCTTAGACACTCTACAAGATACGGAATCGGACGTGTTTTGAAATTATGAAGGGAACAAGTTTGTTAATTTGGTTCTTGTCAACTTTAGACTCAAACTCAAACAATGCGTATAAAAATATCTCCCCCCCCCCTCCCACCCCCAACGTAGTATTTATTCTGTTCGCCAAAGTTTAGGTGGTTACTGAAGAGCGTTCAGTGCAAAACGACATCAGTGAAATATCGCAGTTAAAATCGCCTTTTTTTAAGTCCCCACCACTGAACGGAGCTTCCGGGATGATATCCCTAGTTGTAATGCCTACTCCTGCATCGGTCATAACCGGTCTACCGGTATTGCGAAATAAATATATAAATATCACAACAAAGAGAACGGCACGTAGGCCACGTCGCCGCTCTAAACGACGCACACCCGGACGTTACGTTAAAAAAAAAAAAAAAAAAAGAATCTAACCGATTTATTTGAAACCCACGTGCGAGCGCTCGTTATCAATTTTACGCTCGAGCACTGACATTTATTTTATGGATATATTACACGACAACCACGGTAACTGTGATAATTCCGTTTCCTTTTAATACAAAACGTGAACGCATACGCCTAAAGAGCCACAACTATATTATCAATAATCCTTACCTTGAAAAAGAAGGGCCGTCATTTTCGATCGCGATACCGCTCCGGTCGATTTCACACGCACATTTTTGGCACACGCACACGCGGGAACCACTCGAACGGAGGAGAACCGATTATCGAATCCATCGCCCACCGGCTGCCACCAGACCACACTGCGTCGGCGCAATGATAACGCCTTGTCAGATGTAGCGACCGCCGCCTAGTCAGATGGACCGAAAGTCCGCATAGCGGTATCCAGGCTGCTGATTGCAAGTCGCAACACTTCCAAGTCGACTGTAAAACTAGCTGCAGCGATGGCTCGACAAGAACGCCCTTGAAATTCTCGAACGAGGCGCAGCCTCGCAGCGGGCGAGAGCGTTTCACGGGACCCGGCGACTTGGTCAAGGCAGCCTGGCGAGACGACAGCGAAAGCAGTTCCTGTACTTTCGACCGCTTCTCTGCGAACTAATGAGCACGCGGCCGGTTGTTGAGATCTCCGCTTCCCGGTCTCGCGACTCCTCCAGCTCGTTGAACAGACGACGACGACGGCGACAAGTCGTGGGACCGGTGGCTGGCTGGGGGGTCGCTGTCGCCCGAGGGCGAGGAGTGGGGTGTTCCTTTGCGTAGATAGGGGGAGCGCTGACGTTGAGAGAGTGAAAGCCAGACGGCGTGGTGTGTCTGCGTTTTCTCGGATGAGAGAAGGGGAGAGGGCGAAACTTGCAGCGTTCGCGGCTGCTCTTGTGTGACGGGGGAGTTCTGAGCGAACCCCAGCTGGCCAAAATCTAGCTGAAACACAACAAACGCACGCACTAAAACGCTATGTTGCGGCGTGTTCTTCGCCCTTGAATAGATAAGCTGGCGGTAACGCGAAACTTTTTTTGTGATCTTGCGCTTGCCGAGAAGTTTGATCGACTCCATTGGCTCGTGGCGTTTCTAGCGTAACTTGAGATGGAGCGGCTTTTAAAAACGCACATTTCGTTAGCCCCCGTGTCACTTTTTCTTGTTTTTCGGCCTTACATTGAATAATGGCCACTCTTATCGCGGCATACCTCTCTTCCCAGGTAGCACCAAACATTGTAGTAACGTTATTTTATTGTTGCGTATGTTTAAATAACGTTATGTGTTATACCTGAACATTAATGTAACGTTCAAGTTAAACATATTATGTTTTAGTTGTATTTGAAACATTAGTATAACGTTCCAGTAAAACATATAATGTTATATGTTGTGTTATTAACGTTAATATAACATCACATATGTAACTGCGAAATAACGTTAAAAATAGAACGTTCAAATAATGATTTTGGAACATTTATTACTAACGTTATTTCTGTGTTAATATTGAAACGTTAATGTAACATCACATATGTAACTGTGAAATAACGTTAAAAATAGAACGTTCAAATAATGATTTTGGAACATTTATTACTAAGGTTATTTCTGTGTTAATATTAAAACGTTAATGTAACATCACATATGTAACTGTGAAATAACGTTAAAGATAGAACGTTCAAATAATGATTTTGGAACATTTATTACTAACGTTATTTCTGTGTTAATATTGAAACGTTAATGTAACATCACATATGTAACTGTGAAATAACGTTAAAAATAGAACGTTCAAATAATGATTTTGGAACATTTATTACTAATGTTATTTCTGTGTTAATATTGAAACATTAATGTAACATCACATATGTAATTGTCAAATAATGTTAAAAATAGAACTTTAAAATAATGATTTTGGAAGATTCATTACTAACATTATTTCAGTGTTAATAATAAAACGCTAATGTAACTTTATTTGTAGAACAATAAAATAATGTTGAAAATAAAACATTCAAATAACTTTATTTGTAAAACAATAAAATAATGTAAAAACTATATGTTCGCCGGTTCCTTTTTTTTTTTTTTGCCCGATTTTTTAAAGGTCTTTTTGAAAAGTACTCTACCTGCCCTGTGATAGTTGCAAGGAAGTGAAGGAAGAGGATTAAGTACGGGAGAAAACGGAAAGAAGAAAAAAGGAAATTTTTCTCAATTAATTAATTCGAAGCTAGGTGGCGCAAGCTACCGCCCCTTATAAAGGGAACAGCCAATATCAGAGCCGGCCGAGCCGGCCAATATTCATCCATCCGCGTTCCCGCCACTGCAACAGTCTGCAACTGTGGCCCCTGCCACCGCTGGTTTCGTCGGTTCGATTTCTTCGAGCGAACTTCTGGGACAGTTTGAATAGCTTGAACTAGTTTGAACTTTGAGTTACTTTGATTTCCAATTAAGCTACGTCCAGCCGCGTCCACAACGGTGACTGCTGACTGATAAAGCGGACAACGGAACAGCTTCTTGACGGCGGGACTCGAGAACCGTAAGTAACCACCTTTTTGATAACCACTGTGCACGTGCTTATTTTCTTGAAAACAATCTGACGTAAACTGGTATCCTGTCGTTCTCTTTGTTTCAAAAGTAACAAGAGGGGGGAAAATGAAATGACATAGAAAACCGTTACATCGTCTGTGCAACCGGCAAAAAAGAATTATTGCCGAGAGCGTCCGCGACCATCTTGCAGACATTTTTCCGAACTCAGTTTTTGTGGCGGCGGATAGGGATTTGATGGTCGACAGAGCAGAGGACAGCGACAACGGAGCGAAAGAGGTTTTAAGCAGTGCTACCGAACAGTTTCAGTGATCTTTGCGTGGACACAGATTCAGAGTCGGATGGTACTGAAATCCGGTCGTAAAATCTTTTGAGCTTGGCAAGCGATGGGCTAGGTCATCAGTGCGACGGTGTGCCCAGCAGTTTCTTTGCGATTTTGGAAATTCTTCGTGAAATTTGGGCAAATGCTAGTGAGAGGTCTGGTCCCACATGGAGACACGACTGTTTGTTTTGCCTGTTGCAAAAGCTGAAAATGTCAGTCCCCACAGGTATGCACAATGGCAAGGAGGGCAGGAGAACTTTTCGAGAAGCTTGTTTGAAAACAGGTGCAACTCGCACCACTTTTTCAACAAAAATGTTTGCTATTAGTCGACAACTGCCCACATTACCTCTCAGTCATCCCTGTAAATCTTTGACAAAGGGCTGAATATTGAACTAAGCGAAGTAAGTTCAGGAAAGCATGCTATGCTTCCTTTATAGCACCTTGTTATCAAGTTTAGGTGTTTTGCATTTAGTATTGTGTTGTTTTGTTTGCAGGCAAAGAAGTCCTAAGCATCGTGTCCAAAGCAGGAAGTGCTGGTGCGAATCTCAGCTCTAGAAGGACGACATTCTGTGTTTACTTTTATTTTATCCTTTAAAAACAATTTATTCATGAGTATTTGCCACCTGCTCAATATGGCAATGTTTTTTTTTGTCTTGCTTTCATCTAGTCATCAGTTGTGGACATTTCTCTTAAAACCTTTTCCTAATCATGTGTTCAAAAGAGGTTTTTAAGCTTTTTATAGCTCTATTTTTACTTTTGCAACTTGAACATTTATAGCTGCTCGGTATGAGAATGCGGAGAGCTCAAACTCCTCTGAAACGCCCTCGTGGTTGGAGTAGGATGTGAACGTTTGAGAACATTTATTAAATTATAACAAAGAGAAACAATTTTGGTATGAAGCAAAGTCCACTGTAAAACCGTAAGATGACATTTTAGTTCTTGTAGCATTCATTTTAATGAGAAAGTTTGTGAGCAGGAAAGATAATTATGCTTTCTTTCATGATGGCAAGCTTTTTCCACCAAAATTAGTGCTAGCATTCTCGGTGCTATTTTTTATGTACCGCAAATTGGGCTTAAGATTGACGTCAGCTCATAGAGAATTTTTTTATTTTTTTATTTTTATTATCTTTTGATCTATGTAATGTCGTGTTTTCAAACTTTTGCACCCTACTCCAATCGCCAGGGCTACATTCTACCAGAGTTTGAGGTCGTTGTGATGTCTAGTTTATTTTTGCGGTAGAGAAACACTGTTGAGTTTTCTCGCTCCTTTCTTTAATTATGTGAGCTTCATGAACCCAATTTACAGGCCTTCAAGCTTCTTCGGAAGTGTGATTTTTTTTCATAATTGTTCACTTTATTTTTTTTTTTTTAGAGGGAAAATAATTTTAACTGCATAGCCTAGCAATATTGTCGCTGCTCATGTACACTTCAATGTTCCAAATTTGGAGAGTCAATAAATGTGCTCATAAACTTGTACCAAACTGTTTTCTTTTCACAGCAGGGGTAGACTGCAATTAATCACCTGGGAATCATGGTGTTCTGCACAAAAAAACAATGGACATAAGAAAGAAAACAGACATACAGGTGCCACTCACAAGTATATATATTTGAAAAGTTCAGAAAAACAGGAATACATCTATCGTCATCTTCATCACGTCCACGCATGCGCTTAGCCATGTGATATACGCCTCATCAAACACATGGCTAAGCGCATGCGTGGACGTGATGAAGATGAGAATGTATGCATTCCTTTCTTTCTGCCCTTTTCAAGTACAGTTGTGAGTGGCACCTGTATATCTGTTTTCTCTCTTGTGTCCATTGATTTTTTGCGCCTTACACTATGATTTCCAACGTTCACCAACTAGCCCAACTACAAGTTCTAAAATTAATCACCTGTATGGTAGCTTGTTTGTGCTGTGCTAAATCTGGTGATGGTTGTATCCCACACTTTCTACCAAGGAAACACTTTTTTCTTCAATTAGTGGTGTGTCGAGTGGCATTATGGCCAAGCTGAATAAATGAATTTCTGATTATTCCTCCCCGGGAAAGTGTGAGGCGCACACAGCTGTTTATGTTCCGAACAAGTGTCTTTCTATATTTATGCTTACATCTGTTGTCACAAAGAAGCTTTGTGATGGTTTAGTGTTCAATATTTTAAATTATTATGCCTCTCACAAACACACTCTGTTCAATTACTGGGACAACCAGTATATGGCCAAACAGATTTGACAAGTTTGGGAGAACGATAAACATAGATCAACTTTTGTTTGCTTGTTTATCATTCTCTGCTTAAATCTCACTTGAAACTTTGGGTGAAGAGTGCAAAGATATTACAATAATCATAAATAAAAAGGCCATTTGGAGTAGACTCCTTTTCTGACATATATGTACAGACGTGGAAAGATTCAACGAAGCCACAGGAGCGTGCGGCCTCGAGATACTCGCGCACTTCATGACGGCAGCGAAAAGAACTAGTATCGATGGCTGCTGCAGCTAGCTGTGAAATTAGCTGCTGTCAGCATCCGTTTAGATGACCTGCTCTGCCGCCCTGCTACCATACTAACGACCATACGCCTAGAGTGGCACTCTCTACACTGCATCTCGATAAGGCTGGCTACCAGTATCGAATAAGCTCATCGTGTGTACTTGGAATTCCGGAACGCAACAGAATGTCTTTCCTTTTTGTTTTCGCTACAGTTCCAGTGAAGCACAATAAGCTTTGATTCACATCACGACGACCATATTGAACCGAAAGCATGCATCGTTGCAAATAAAGTTCTTGAAAAGCGCATTGTCTGTTCAGCTGACAAAACATTTCAATGTCAGTGTACAGTGCGCCACTTTAGGCAAATGACTGTCAGTACGGCAGCAGTGCAGGTCATATAACTGGGTGTTGATAGTCGCTAATCTCACAATCTGCCAGTATTAGAGGGGATAGTTCCCCACGCCACCGGCAGGACGCGC